GGTGACTTACCACCAGAATTCCAGGTTCAATTCCCATAATACGTTGAGGGTTATCAGTATAAATGTTTTAAACAAAACAATGAATCACTAGAATAGGGGTGTCCGACCCATGAAGTGCTTAGATTTGGCCCATGGAAATAGCAAAGGACCAGCCTGCGGTGCCTTTGCCAGAGAAAACTGAGCTTGGGGGGCTGTGCACAGCTCTCTCGGGCTCAGTTTTCGGCCGTGACAGCCTCCTGCAGCCCTCAGCCAGCAAAAACAACTTGGCGCCTACTCCAAGCTGTTTTCGCTGGTGGAGGGCTAGCAAAACAAACTAAAAACAAAACAAAAGGAGAAATGTTTCCCCTTTTGCATTTGAGCGTGCAAGAAGGGATGGGAAAGGAGAAAGGAAAACAGGAAAGACGAAGGGAAGATGGAAAGGAAAAATAAGGGAAGAGGGGAAGGAAGAGGAGAGAATAAAGAAGGAAGGAAAAAGGGAAGGAAGGAAGGAAGATTATAATGGGGGTGAGGGAGGGTGTCAGCTTTGGAAGCCATGTTCCATGCTGCTGCATAGCCTGAGAAAATGGGAGGGGGTGGGGTTGATTTCAGTTGAGTAGTTCTAAGTAGACAAAATTAAATTCTTTTGTTAGTTCAAGGTGTATTAAGTGTGGCGCAGGATGAAAGAAAGATCTTACTCTGGGACGGATCGTGATTGGTCCATGTGATGTGATAACGGCAAAAAGGGGATGGATTGTAGTTTGGGACATTGTGGGAAGTCCGGGAAACTTTTAGTTTCGAGATTCCACAGATGTGCCAGGTGCTCTTCTAATAAAGGTATTTGGGGGATATGTTTGTCTCTATTGTGGTTAGCCAGCAGCAGGTGTGGACGGCTGAGGAGAGCGAGGACTCAGACGAGGGGCCAGGACCATTAGGGAGTGGACTGCTGCCTTCAGAGATTGTGGGGGCTAGCAGCAGCGATGAGGAGGTTCCTGAGGAGCCTGTGCCAAGTGCATGTGCGCGCAGGATTGCTCATAGGAAAGAGCAGTTACAACAGCACGGGTGACTCGGGAGTAAGGCTGCAAGGTAATGGCCCCTCCTTCAAAAGCTGTGAAGCTAATGTTCTTTGCAGAAGGCAAAGACGTTTTAAAACTACAGCCTCGTGGACATTCCAGTATCCGGAAGGATTGTATTTGAAGATTTTTATTTTGCAAATCATTTCTTGTCTGTTATCTTTTTGGCAAGTCTCACACCGTTTGGCAAGGCTTGTGCTTATCCCATCTAATTATTTTGTAAGGTTTCTGTTCTTTTTGAATTGCGTTTGATTTATTGGAAAAGGGCGTGGGTCAGTCTCGGAGTTACTCATTGGAACGGAGGTTTGCTGGAACGCTGACAGCGGGTTTGAGGGAAGACAGGTGCAGAGGTTGGTATTCAGCAGGTTCTGACCAGTTCTGGAGAACTGGTAGTGGAAATTTTGAGTAGTTCGGAGAACCGGCAAATATCACCTCCTGACGGGAGATTTTACAGTATCCTTCCCCTGCCACGCCTACCAAGCCACGCCTACAGAACCGGTAGTAAAAAAAAAAATTGAATCCCACCATTGCAGAGTGACGTTGACACAAGTGACACAAGTGAGGTTGAGCTGGCCATGCCCACCCCAGCCACACCCCCGGCCCACCAAGGTTAAACACAACCCTGATGCAGCCCTCAATGAAATCAAGTTTGACACCCCTGGCCTCGAATGAAAGCTTACCTTACTGAGCAAATTTATGGTTGCATTTAGATTTCAATCCTGATTCAGTTCTCTAAAAATATTAAAACCATGGCAACCATCTTAGGGGGGTTTGAATGGCATTTGAAAAGTTCTATTTTGGCTTCCCTGAGGTAAATGTGGATGAGGTTTTGGTTTTGTTTTTATTTTACAAACAGGGATGTCTGTCTGGGCAGGTCACAAGCACTCAACACTTAAAAAGTTTTGTATAGATATATATTTTATTATCATTTTTTCATACTTACAAGAAATGTACGAAGAAGTTAACACTTCTTTCATTTTGGCAATGTGTAAAGAAGATTTTTCTTTCCTATTTTGCAGGGTGGGTGGGGGCATGGCAATGGGAGTTTTGTATTAGTTGCATATTGTTCTTTCTTTGCAGAAAGACAAGGCGGTATAACTTACGCGGAAGCTTTTGTCCTTTTCTCGAACGTTTGTAAAAAAACAAAATTATCCGTTTCCGAGTCTCCCACTTCTACAGCTGTCCCATTTCTGTCCCACACAGCATTTTAGAAACACTTTATTCAAAGTAACGGACGCAAAACGACCCTTCTTAAAAGGCCGGTGTCTAAGGTAAGTTCAGGAAAAGCAAAATAATTCTAATGGAGAAAACACTCCAGTCTGAACTGCTTTTCCTACACTTTCATTTTTCAGTATTTCTTTGAATTCTCCTTCAC